ACAGAAAACTCCTAAAAGTCATACTGTCTGGTCCTTACATCCTACTGTTAAATCTATCCATCTGCTGGAGTCACTTTATTAGAAAAATTAATGAAAGGTATTTAGGGAGATGTTTGACTCAAAACTCAGTTCTTCACTGAGACAGGATTTTCTGGGACTATTTTCTTTTGCCAATTGTCAGAAACTTCTACGAAGTAATTCTTTGAAGAGTAAGTGTATGACACAGTGTATGACCACTTGCAAAAGTGTCTTAAATGCTGATATTTAAGTTGCAACTCGGAGTGATCTCCATGTTAAGGTGTAAAATGCCACTAGCAAATGCCAATTACCCACCCTTGTTTCACAGACTTTAAGTGCTACTCAGCTTGACCTTCTAGTACTGGGCACTAAAGATTAACCACAATTTATGGGATGTGGCCAAAAAAAAAAAAAAAAAAAAACATGTTTGATTTTTTAAAAAGTTTTCTTTTATGGTGACTCATAGAGCTAGTTGTGTATAATGACTTTGATTGATTCCTTTTGTACAGATCCTTGCTTCAGTGCATATTCTCCCTAAGATCCTGATCAAGTCTACCTACTTCATAAATACTAACAGGGAGGTACAGGAACCCCAAGATCAGTAAACAGGATCATGCAGAATGAGGAGACAGGACTGAAATAAAAATCTGCTAAGACATAAACTGTCACCAAAGAATTTATCATTCCTACCAAACAACCTAGGGCAAGTCAGTCCTGAACTTCCAGTGTGGTTGCCATGGTTTTTAGCCAAAGACAGCAGGGCTGCATTCTAATTATACCCTGTTCAGTGACAGACAGCTGAAAAATAGGAAATGGGGTAATAAAATCTTGGGTCATCCAGAAGAGACATGCTAGGTACAAGTAACCCGGAAGTGAAAGTTTATGTTTGCCTGACAAAGCACCTTTGTGATTAGGATGCAATTGTATAATCCGCAGAGTCTTCAGATGTTCAATAGCAATTTTGCTTATCAGCTAACCTATTACTCGAGGACAGATATCTCTTATTAGAAATTCTCTCAACATTTTAAACTTCAATCATTCAAATCTTAAGAGAATAACGGGAAAATGTCTTGAACTACAAAAAATAAATGTATCCTTTCAAGTATGGTGAAAATAATAAATTGAGGAATGCAGTGTCTTTACAAATACCATGATCAAATATAGTGTTGTATCTCAAAATGCTTTGTCATGTATTTACTACAGGATAGCAGTACTGCAAGTATCTAGGTAATGTTCTTGTTTTTGCCTCCTATCTCACCATAGGAGTTCTGGGATTACAGATGGACACCACTTGCTCCTAGTTTTTTTTTTTTTTTTTTTTTTTTTTTTTTTTTTTTAACATTTGTTCCAGGGATTGATTCCAGGTCATCAACTGCATCAATGAATAAACTCACGCTGCCAGTGAAGTTGAGAATATGGGTGGGTGAGGATTGAATGTGATCTTCATTAATTTTTTTATTATGGAGACAAAACACCATGCCCAAGGCAATTTACCCAGGGAAGTCTATATTTGGGGCTCACAGTTCAGAGGGTTCCAGTCCATGACTATCACAGTATGGAGCATAGCATCAGGCAGGCAGATGTGGCTCTGGAACAGCAGCTGGAAGCTTACATTTGACTTACAAGCACAAGGCAGAGAGCTAACTAACTGGGGATGTCATGGGTTGACACACAATCTCCAACAAGGCCAGATTGCCCCGAGAGGCTAGGTAGCAAGGAGGGCCCAAAGTGGGATGTATTTCTCCAGAAAGGGGAGATAGAAGAGATCTTCTGATAGACTGGGGCCCAGTGGGCATGGAAACATGAGGGATCAAGTTGGGGAGTGAATGGAGGAGAGACTACTGAAAGAGGTGTACTGAATTGGGGGACATTTTGGAGTCAAGTAGAAGCGTGGTGAAAGGGAAACTCCCAGGAATCTACATGGATGACCTCAGCTAAGACTCCTAATGATAGTGGATACATAGCCTGAACTGCCCATCTCTGGTAATCAGATTGGTCACTGCCACAATTGCAATCAGAGAGCCTTTATTTAGTGACTGATGGAAACAGATGCAGAGATCCAGAGCCAAGTGCTGGGCTGAGTATAGGGAATTCTGTAGAAGAGAAGAAGGAAGGAATGTGTGAGCCAGAGATGTCAAGAACATCATAAGAGAACCCACAGAAACAACTAACCTGGGCTCACAAGAATGAGAGAACTAGTTCTGCCCCTCAACCGCTGCTGCACACAGAAGAGCAAGAAGGTCCTGCAGCCTTGGGCAGCACACTACAGCTGACCCTGTTGTCAGGGGTGCAGGTGAGCCAGCCCTGAGAAGGTGAGAGCTGGAGAGCTGACCCTGTTCCCCCTTGTATGTCCTCTACAGTGACCAAGAGAGACGGCCCTGTGCTTCACATGGACTGAAGAATAGAGCTGGCTCTGGTGGTGTGAGTGTAAATGGGCCCTATTGGAGGACCTGAGAGCAGGAGAACTGGCTCTGCTCCATGCTGTAGGCTGCACTGGGTGAGCCAGCCAAGGCAGTGTTGGAGAGCTTACCCGGGTAGTGTTAATGGAGGAAAGTCAGCAGGCTGACCTACCCAGCTACCACCCAGGCTAAGAACTAAGGCTAAGTTAGCCCACCCCAATATTCCCCGCATCTGTGAAAGGGTGGAGTGTGTGAAGGTGACATATCCTACAGTTCCCAAACAGCAGACTTTCCATGACACAGGAGAACTGGATTTTCAAGAGGAGCCCCAGTGAGAGCCCATCTTCATCAATGGCACAGCAGGGGCCAGAGGTCTCCAGCCAGACCAGTGGCAATGAAGACTGGCAAGAAAAGATGAACGGACTGAAGGGGACAAAGTGTGACTCAACAGGCCACAATGCAGTTTCTATGACTAGAGACAAGAGCCTTCTTTTCTCTTTTCTCTTTGTTTGGTTTTTGGGTTTTCTTTTACATTTGGTTTTGTTTTGGGGAAGGTTGCAAGGACAGAGGGCAGCTGCGAGGGGATAGGGAGGTAAATAAGTGGGATCTGAATGCATGATGTGAAATCCACGAAGAATCAATAAAAGTAAAAATAAAACAAACAAGCAGACAAGTACCCCCAAAATAAATAAAAACCCTAAAGAAAACTAAAAATCTGTTAGCTCCAGTCTCTTCATCTATACAAAGGGATAGTATAACACTTTTTATAGCTATGTTTTAAAATCAGCTAAGACAAAAATACTGAGTTTAGCATTTGGCTTGTAGCACTAAGAATGTAGGCATGCTGTGTAATTATTACTTCTGCACGTCTACCACAACAAGCCATACAGCTACTGCTCTCACAGAGTAACACAAAGACATTGGCAAGCCCAAAGGCTTGAAACAAAGCAACTGTGAAGGTATGGAAAATGTCTTAGATGCAAAATTATATGTTTCAATGGGTAAAAATGTACCAGTTTAGCAAATGGTATTTAAAGGTCAAAGGGAATATTGTAGGTGTCTCAAAGCCTGTAAGGACACCTCTGTTTCTTTTGAGGATATTTATTCTGTGACTCCTTGGGGGAAAAGTATAACATTCTATATCAGTGTTATGGTCTCATCAAGCCTACTCCTCATACATTCTAAAAATGATAGCTGGATTCTTATGTTTAACTTTAGTTATACTCAGGGCATCTTTTCTTTTTGCAGAAGGCACTGGTTGGACTTTGTAATGGAAGTGGTCACCAAAGGCTGACTTAAGTAGGAGATTTCCATATGGAGTGTCACAAGAGTCAGCCTTTGCTTCTACACAAAGATTAAGATGAGAAAAAAGTTCTTTTCTTTGTAAGAATGATTTTCAAATTATATAGGCAATTTGGAGTATGAATCCTCACGTGGTTTATTTGGCTTTAACTCTTATTCATATGGTATAGCTTGTCATTCATATACCATGAGTTTAACACAGAATCATAATTACATATATGTATGTGTAGAGGATGTGTATACATGTATGCAATAAAGCACAGAATTTTATTGAAAATTGATGACTAAGGTAAGTAGAGATGTGGGCAAGTCCAGATAAAATAAGTAAAACACTTGTTTGTAGCTAACCTGCTCACATCTGAAATCCTAAGCACTTTAGAGGCTGAGGCAGGTAGATCACTACAGGTTTTTGAGGTTATAGAATTTCAGTCTGGGTTATATAGTTTCAGAACAGCTTGATAGCAAGAATCTGTCTCAAAATAAAATTAAAAAATACATAAAAAACTTACTCTTCAATTTGTTATTGATATTTTGAAATTCAATTTATTATCAGTTCCTGGAATTTGGGAATAACTGGTTGAGAACACAATCTGAATTGCTCACTCATGTTTGAACATGAAAGGCAGAACTCCGATTTCTGTCTCCTTCCTTCAGCTTTACTTTTCTGGTCTTATACCAGAAAAGTATAAGCACTCCTGGACAAATGCCTTTGCCAGCAGAAAGTAGTAGATGTAGGTAGGCAGAGTTGCTTACCTAGTAATAGGAGTATGAATGGTTTCTTTTTGCATGTAGTGATGGGGGATATTCTTCTGTATGTATTCTTCTTTTATTGGCTGATGAACAAAACACTGATTGACCAGGTAGGAAGATAGGCGAGGCTAGAAGATGAGGAGAATTCTGGGAAGGGTAGGCAGATGCAGCTGCCATATGAAGACCGGGATATTAGGATGCACCAGACCAGACCACGTGGAAATACTTAGATTAATAGAAATGGGTTATAATTAGGACAAAGCTAGCCAATAAGAAGCCCAAGCCACCTGCCAACAGTTTCATAATTAATATAGTGTCTGTGTGTTCATTTGTGGCAAGGAGGTTGCAGAACCAAGCAGGAAACCTTGCAACATAGGATGGCTAGGTCTCACATCAGAGGGAAGTTGCTTCTGTTTCCTAAGTTCCCTAGGGAGAAATAGCTCCAACATACAACACAGATCACAAAGTGAAGCGACACATTCTATCAGAATTGTCTGTACATATGGAGTGAGGATTGTCTGGCTCTCTTACCTTAAAAGAGATTTCATACTGCTCTCCTCCCCAGATTTCTAAGCCTGGGTCGTAGCCACCCAGCTCCCAAAACCACTTTCGATCCACTGCAAAGAGTCCTCCAGCCATAACAGGAGACCTGGGAGACAAAAGATAAACAACATTTAATGGACCATGAAGATTAAAGGCAGTAGTATTTTGCTTTGAAATTCATGATCTAGTTTAGTGGTCAAGGTATGTCATTTTTCAGCATGGTTATCTATAAGTAAATATAGAATTCCTATTGCATTTCCTGTTGAAGTAGATGTGGGAAAAGAATCTGCGTGAACATTAAGCTTTGCAATTCAGGTTTTGACACGGGAAAGGTACTTCCCGTGTCACACTTGGTCACATGCTTATCATCAGAGAGAAATACATTAATATCAGTGACTGATATGTTGGGAGATATTACTCAACTTAAGTTGAGAGAGATCTCTTACCATTAGACAGAATGGTGGTGAGAATGTAATGTCTCACATGTATTTATTCACTGAACATCTGTCTACTATTCATGTCCTATTTATAGACTATGAAATAGAATATAGGATAAAGTAAGATTTTAAAATAGAATTTTGATTATGTGTATGTGTGTGTATCTATGTATGGGTATTGGCGCAAGTGCTGGAACCTGGGGACATTCAGAACAGGGGGTCAGATCCCATGGCATAGGACCCAGCTATGGTTGTGAGCCCTCTGACAGGATTCTGGGAACTGAACTATGGTTTTCTGGAAGAGTAATGTGGACTCTGAACTGGTGATCCAAGTTTCTAGCCTAAGAAGAAATATTTCTGAGGGTGTAGATTGTATACAGTTGGCAAGAGGGAAGAACTAGAAGAGTGATTTATCTATTATCCCTAGGAAAGTGCACGGGACATATATAGAGTCTCACGTAGCATTTACATTTCATTAGAATTTTTAGAATCACATGTCCCTCACTCTAGTCATCTCTGCAGCTGACTGTTCCCTCCTCCATTTTCTGAACACAACATTTTAAAGTAGAATTATAATTATAGCTGGAACAAATCAAGACTGCAAAGACTGCAACATTTACTGGTTGCAAATTCCCAGTGATTGTATACTACAGTTGTAACCTTTAATTCTTTGGGGCTAGACATTAGCAGTTTTGAATTGTAGAGATATAGGGTAAAAGAAATTCTGAAAGTAACTAATTGTAAATAGTTTCGTTGCAAGCATAATACTCTTGTTTAAAATGATCTTATCAAAAATCTGAACAGTATATTTTAGGTTAATCTGTTTATAAGTTAAATTCAAATGGACCCATCAATTATTGACAGTTTGAAATTTATGAGGGTAATTCCATATTTATTTGTTCTTGGTGTTCTATCATTTTTTATGCCATGTTTTTGTAACCCTGTTAATAGTGCAGAAATATTTAGAATTTTCATGCTTTTGATGAATTGCCTCATTATAACTAGAAAATGGCTTTTATTATTTCTGGTGATAACATTTGTTCTATCATCTATCCTCTGTCATTATAACAACCCTGGTTTCCTTGTCTTCCCCAACTCGAGTATTTATAACCTTTTCTGTCTTTTAACATTTTAACCATTTGTGCATTCACACTTAATGTGAGTTATTGATGGAGTTCAGTAGGGAGAGTAGTGGTGTAGCATGCGCAAAGCCTGGCACTGGCTCTCAGTGCCATCTCTAATCACAGCCTTTGGGAAGAGGAGACAGGAGGACCAGTTCATGGTCACCCTCAGCTATGTAATGAGTTTAGGTCAGCCTGGCCTACATGACACCCTCTCCTTTCTGTCTCTCCTAAAAAGCAGGTTTCTAACAGGTGACACATATACACACCTTGTTTTCCAATTGGGACATTTAGATACAACAAAACAAAACACCAAAAATGGTTGATGTGGTTCCATTTGAGAGGACCTAAACCAATCACCTTCTACCTTTTCTGACTGTATCAATTGTGTTTCTTTTCTTTTTCATTTGTCTTCTTTTGACTAACTAAAGTTTTTGATAGCATCTTTCTCCAGCTCTTTGTACTCTGTTATACATTTCCCTACCTACGTGCTGTGCACACCACATTGTAATACTCATATTGTGAATTATGCTTTGAATACACTTCAATAATAAAATTCCATCATAAACAATATATACATACATATACCACACATATGTACACATAAACAATGTGTACACATAAACAATCAACACAGAAATAATACTAGGAACACCACTTTTGTATTCTGTTGGCTTTATAATAGTTCCAGAGAAAATCTAGTACTATGATTTGCCTGTAGACCCGAGGCTGTGGGTTGAACTTCAGGCCCAAAGGAGTAGATTCTCGTCAATGCTGCACCAAAACCAGAAGAACTGAGGTAGGGACCTTTTGCTTTATTAAATAGTGAACAGTTACTGTGCTTCTTCCTTGGAAAATGAACAGGAGCAGTTAATTATTTTCTGCATATTCTTTTGCTCTTTTTTGGGGGGGTATTTTTAAAATTTAAATTAGAAACAATCTTATTTTACATATCAATCCCAGTTCCCTCTTTCTCCTTTTCTCCCATGCCCCCTACTCAACCCCCCATCCCATCCCCCTTCTGCTCCACAGGGAGAGTGAGATCTTCCATGGGGAGTCTTCAAAGTTTGTCACATCATTTGGAGTAGGGCCTAGGTCCTTCCCCATGTGTCTAAGATGAGAGAGTATCCCTCTATGTGTAATAGTTTCTCAATGTCCATTTGTATACTAGGGATAAATACTGATCCACTACCAAAGGCCCCCATAGACTGCCCAGTCCTCCTAACTGTTCAGGGGGCCTGGTTCAGGCCTATGCTGGTTTTCCAGCTGTCAGTCTGGTGTCCATGAGTTCCCACTTGCACAGGTCAGCTGATTCTGTGGGTTTTCCCAGTGTGGTCTTTACCCCTTTGTTCATCACTTCTCCCTCTCCGAAACTGGATTCCAGGAGTTTGGCACAGTACTTACCTGTGTATCTGGGCTTCTGCTTCTATCAGCTGCTGGATGTAGACTCTAGGATGTCATTTAAGGTAGTCCTCAATCTCATTATTAGGGAAGGACATTTAAGGTAGTCTCTCCACTATTGCTTAGATTCTTACTTGGAGTCATCCTTATAGATCCTGGACATTTCCCTAGTGCTAGATTTCTCTTTAAACCTGTAAGGGCTCCCTTTATTAAGGTATCTTTTTTTTTTTTTTTTTTTTTTTTTTTGCTTTCCTCTATTTTTCCCCTGACTCAATCTTCCTGTTTCCTCATGTCCTCCTCTGGTTTTATTTTAAGTAAAAGCTGGTATCTCAGAACTCCCCATTGGTCACATTCCTCAGTTTCTCCCCATTCTCTCTGCTTTGTGCCTGACTTTTTCTGAATCTCTTTTCTGTTTTGTTTCCTTGGGAATGTGAGCACAGGGTAGGCAGGGCTTGTGGCTCTGGGTCTCTGTGACATATGACTGCTGCTGCACTGTGCACAGTATCTGAATCAGTCCTCAAGCTTTGCAATTAAAAACATTTGTCATCCCTAAGATGACTTCTAAAATTAAGGTGGCCATGAAGATTCTTCATTTACAGGCCATAGATATGTGTGACTTTTCTGCATACTTAATGGAATTCAATTTTCTATTTCATAGCAGTGCTATTGAGCCATGTTACAAATCTGCTTTCTCTTTTTTAAGTATGGTTAAATAGCATCCCATTTCTACAGCATTTTTTTCTTTAAATGCTGCAAATTTGGTTCACTTTTAAATTATTGAGGCTATCATGTAAAAGTTTACTGGAACCATTCTTTATTTGGCAGCAGTGACAAACTCTGTGTTCTCATTTGTAGATGCAAAATTGTGTGGCAGGCTTTCTCTTTTAAATGAGGGCATTTTCTGAATGCTATGTCATTATAAGGAGTTGGCAAACTACCTACCATTCTCTATTTCGTGTATTGATTCTTTACTTCATATATTCAGAAAAAAATGGTGGAGTTTTAATTGAAACATGCTTTCTCTAGGGTGCTTTTCACTCTTCTCAGATTTTCAGGCACATAGAGTATGACTTCAAAGTTTAACACAGGCCACATAACCTGTTGGATTAGAGAAATGAAGGCATACAAAATACTGAGGAATAGATACATGAGAAAAATGTTTTTCAAATACGCTAACAATTAAAATTTAGGTTCAGTAATATGAAGGGAATGTCAGTTTGGCCCCTTAGGAAATACACTGGCTCTCAGCTCTCTTTCAGTAGATACAGTGAAATTTCTGGACATGTGGGCTGGAATGTAAATTTGATCAGAAAGGAAGCGACACAGCTTCCCTCGGGTCTCAATCAAGCCAAGCCAATCAGCAGAATGGCAGTCCATATGACTTTTGGCCACACAGCCAGACATTTGTGGTTGGTCCATGACTCAGAACTATTACAATTAAAAAAGTCACTATTATTCCAACAAGAATTCATTTGTGGAGCAAATGATATTTAAGATGCAAAAATGTTTTCTAAGTGATAAATCATGTCATAAATTAAGATTCTGAGGAGACTATTTAAAAGGGTTTTGAGTGACCTAACTTTTACAGTGAGATAACATAGTAAAAGGAGGACAGAAGAATATTATCACCCTTATGTTATGCGAGGAGGCGATCACTCCAGAGGCAAAAGAGAGACATCTTTTAGAAAGCCAAGATGTGGAAACAGAGAGAAGATGTAAAGATGGTCACAGAAATCTGTGGTTCACTGAACAGTGTCAATGGCTGCATCAAGAGAAAAGCAGCGTGGATAGTGTGGTGGGGGAGAGAACTGTGTCAGCGATGACGTTCAAGGCTAGAAGCTTATGCCTGAAGTCACCAGGCCATTCTCTTCAGTTCTGAGCCTCCTGAGCAAGTCCAGGCACTAAGTGAAGAATGTCTTAGCATCATGATACTTCTTGATTTTATCTCTTGGAGGTGTCAGATGGCCATTTACCACACACACACACACACACACACACACATACATACAAACATACCCCTTTTCTTTCTTTATACCTCTTTTGCTTTTCAGACAGGAATACATTTCAGCATTAATATTAAATGCAACACACAGATGTTCTTTTTTTTTTTTTTCTGAGAGGCATTAGTTATTTGGAGTGTATTCTAG